GGTTAGTCATTCCTCTGATGACCGATCACGGCGGGATTTTCTGCCTTCGTTGTTGCTGGTACGTTCAGGTGGTGCTCTCCTGTGGGAGAGGGCTTTCCCTTCTGTCCGCTTAGTCCTTTGTGATCCTGTACCTCAAGGTGGGCGCGTGGATTCCTGTTTTAGGCAGCCAGTTACAGCCTGTCATTCTTAGTGCAGAATTTAACCATCCCAGATTTGGCCAGCGGGAGTCGCATCACACGGGTTCCTGTGTCATTTTGCCACGACACGTTATTCTTTTAAGTGCTTTCTTTCTGTCCTAACGAGAGAGGCTCCAGGCCCGTCATCATGGCTGTTTTTCTCAGAGGGGCCCTTAGTGGAGGGAGCGTGGTCTCCAGAAACCAAAATCTGGGGCTCAGCAAGCTCACCGCCCCTGGACTGTCACTGCGCCTGGGCCTCCTCGGTGCCCAGAGACGGGGACACGTACCTGTACTTGCATGCACACGCGTGTGTACCCGTACACACGTTTCTTTGTATCTGTCCGCGTGTGTGGGTAGCCCCAGGCTCACGTGTACTTCCAGTCCAGCACCAACAGGGTTCATCTGAACTTCCTTGCTTTGAATTTCTCCCTCTTTCTTTCTTTCTTTTTTTTCCTCTAAGTTTATGTATTTATTTTGAGAGAGAAGCATGAGCTGGGGAGGGTCAGAGACAGAGGGAGAGAGAGAATCCCAAGCAGGCTCCACACTGACAATGTGGAGCCCGATGTGGGGTTCAAATCCACAAACCGTGAGATCGTCATCACCTGAGCCGAAACCAACATCAGACGCTCAGCCTGACTGAGCCAGCCAGATGCGCCTCCCTCTTTCTGACAGTAAGAGACCTGCTGCCTTCACCTGCAGTGCACGTTCTTATACCCTGCACGTGCCAAGCACCCTCCCACCTGCCCCTGCCCGGCCCCCACCAGGCTGCCTGTTCCTCTGGCACACACCAAGTTCAAGTTCCCTCAGGGGTGAGTGTTGCTTCCCTCACCTGTCACTTGGGGTCTTCCCGAGGCAGGGCGGAAAGCACCCGCAAAGAGGCCTGCTTGCTTTAAATGTGATTGGAGGAGGGCAGAGACTGCTTCAGAGGGAGCAACCTATCCGCCCAGTGAGCTCACAGAGGGGCACGAGTGTGCCCCCAGTGCGGTCGCTCTTGGACGCCAGTGACCCTGCCACGTGTGCCAGGGCCCTGGCTCCTCAGACAGGCCACACCTCTTCATTGTGCCCTGACCATGTCGCAGGAAAAGGGAGTTTCTTGAAGCCACGAACAGAGAGCACGTCTGTTTTGGTGGAGATGGGGCCCGTGAGCCCCTCCCTGTGAGCACACCTCCCTGCTGCCTTGGGCTCCTTCTGTCCCCAGTCCTTGGTTGCCATTACAGGCGTGGCTTGCTTTGCCTGTGTGTCGTCCGCTCGCTGCAGCATTCAGTGTGATTTCTTGGGAGTCTGCTAGGTGGGCCGGGTGCAAGGCCTGGTGCCGCGATGCTAGGTGATGGCGATCGTCCGCACCTGTGCCCCCGCTGGTCGTCCTCCGCCAGCGGCAAGGGTTGCATGCTGCCACCGTTGCTCTACACAGAGCAGAGAGGTAGAGATTGATCGGGGGCCACAGTGGAAGCATTTCAAAGCCAGCTATAAGGGCTTTTAAGAATTACCTCAATTGTGAACTTCGTCTTAGTTTTTCCTTAATGTTTGTAAATTGCCAGTCGTCTTATGAATGATACTGAGCTTTGGGAATGTGTTTGAGTATTTCCCTTCTAAAAAGAAACATCTGGCAGCTTGTCTTCCCCCGCATCTGGGGTGTCTGAATCTCGGGAGGGTGGTTTTTATGACCTCTCTCTTACGGGAGTGACCCCAGCTCCACTAACACAGGCTCTTGGAAGCCTGGCGGACTCAACTCCTTCATACCAGCTAGCAGCGAGAGTTTTTTAATCCTGTTTTTGCCCAAGGAGAGCAGTTTGGCTCACCCATGTGCAGACAGCAGAAAGAAGGCTTTCCTGCTCCGTTCAGAATTCTGATTTGACTTTGTCTTATGCCTAAAAGTTTGCTCTGGTAAGGCATTTTTGGTGTTCTAGTGTAGAGTTGGTTGGTTTTTAGTGTATCCACAGAGTTAAGCAGCCATCGCCATAATTAAATTAATTTTAGGTCATTCCATCACCCCGAAAAGAAACCCCGACCCCATCAGCAGTCACTCATCACCCCCTCCCCCAGCCCCTGGCAACCAAGAATCCACTTTCTGTCTCCATGGATTTGCCAGTTCTGGACGATTCATATAAATAGAATCACACACTATGTGACCTTCTAAGACCTCTTTCCATTTGTTTGTCTTTACTTTCTTCCAATGATGTTTTGTAGTTTTCATTTGTTAAATTTATTCCCACGTATTATTCTCTTTGCTGCTATTGTAAATGGAATTGTTTCTTCAACTTTGTTTTTGGGTTATTTGTTGCTAGCGCATAGATTCACTGATTTTTGTGTACTGATCTCGTTCCCTGCAACTTGACAAGGGTTTCTTCTGATGAGTTGGACCTTAGCACAAAAGCAAGGCTGCCTCCGGTAGCCCCGAATGCTGTCATCCCTGTGCTGCCCCAGGGACAGACCTTCATGCTGATCCTTCCTGTCAAGCACATCAGACCGTCCCCCCTCCCCACCCCTTAGGAGATAGGCCAAGTCCACAGCACGCACAGATTAAGGGATTTGTATGGACCAGTGGCCCAGCTGAAATCAGGCTTTGAGCCGTCGCCCTGCTTCCTTCCCCTTCCTTCTCTTGGGCCTTCCAGTGTTCTCAGGAAGCGACGAGGTGAAGTTCTCCAGACACATCTGGAAAGAGAGCGAGCCTGCTGTCTGCCACCTTTGATCTTTCACCACAGAAAACGTGTCTCATTTCCCAGACATCTGCTGGTGGTGCAGAGGCTTCTCCTGATTACACAGGCATTCTCTGACAAGACAGAGAGACGGGTCGAAGAAAGGGAGACCGGTCCTAGAGACCCTGATTGGGTGACTCCCTGACATTCTCCAGGGCCTGTGAGCCCAGCACAGCTCCTGGCAAGCTGCCGGGTGAGGTGGCCCAGGCATGGACCAGCTGTGCACGCACTGTCACTTTTGTCTCGCACCTTCAACAGCCCCCGGTCTTTCATTGGCAGCACGCGACCTGGAGTCAGCACTCCTGCGACCCCCTGCCTCCTCCTTGTCCAAGCTGCTGCCTTATGACCTTGGTGGTTGGACCAGGCTTCTGCGTTTCTGTTTTAGTTTGGAAACATTTCCCGGGTTCTCCAGGCTCATGGCCACTGAAGCCCAGACCACGGTCTTCCCCTGCCCTTGACCGTCTCAGCTTCGCTGCCATCCCCAACCCCTAAGCAGTCCTGCTTTTTACCTTTTGTCTTGTGCTTGTAGAGGAAAAGAGCAGTGGGTTCCGGTTGAAGCCACCAACGCTGATCCACGGCCAGGCACCCAGCGCAGGTAGGTGCCCGCCTTTGAAGACAGTAGAGGGCCTTTCTCACACCCTTCCCACCTCTGTGCAGCCTCTGTTTGCGTGGCTGCCTGAGGCAGCCCAGCTGGTGTGCTCCAGGCTCAGCCCGCGCTCCAGGTCTCCTCAGTTCCCTGGTGCATGAGCATTGACAAGTCACTCTAAAGAGCCCATCAGATCAGGAGAGATTCTCCCACCTGGCAGCCCTCTGCCACCCTGAGGGGGGTGGGTGGTGAGGGAGTGGACTTGGCTCGGTGTGGGACGTTGAGGCTCTGCGGCCCGCGTTTGCTCTGTCGGTTCAGGCTGTGTCTCCAGAGCGTCCCAGCCCCAGAGTGCCACAGAGTCACCCCAATCAGCAGAGTGGCCGCGAGCCAGTGGCCTGCTGCTGGGGAACAGGGCCTGGCAGTGGTGCGGAATTGGAAGCATTCTCTTGTGGCTCCTGCCCAATTTGTGTTTGGCAGAAGGGTTTTCTCAGTGTGGCATTTTGAAAAGCAGGTGCAAGGGTATTTTTATGTGAGCTGAGCAGAGTCCTAAACCCTGGGGGCCTGTCTGCGGCTCTCCGCTCTACTTCACCATCTCTGCTTGGCCCTTTAGCCCAGCACTTGAGGACAGCTGTCCCGTGCTTCCCCCGTAACATTACTGTACTCACCGGCTTAATTTCTGTAAAGCCCCCTGAGAGCCATTGCAGGGGTGTGCGTTTCTGCCCATGAAGACCAAGGGCCCCGGGCAAGCCATCCTCTGTTCTCAGGTCTGCCGAGCCAGAAACCCAAGGAGCAACAGCGGAGTGTGCTTCGCCCGGCAGTGTTGCAGGCCCCGCAGCCAAAGGCACTGTCACAGACCGGTAAGAAACGGCCTGGCACACGGGCTCACACGGTGGGGTGTAGAGCGTTCCTGAGATGCGCCGGGGGCAGCTGTGTCTCCAGCGAGGGGACTTCAGCCATATGTGTTGAATGCGCTCCGGAACAGAGAGAGTGCTGGGGAAACGATCCTTTAAATCCTCGGTGAGCTCAGGGAAGACAGAGAGAGATGCCGTCTCCGTGCAGCACTGGGCCACAGTGACAGCCGGTTAAGATGTGCTTTGTGCACGCACTGGCTTCTACAAGCTGGCCCGCTCCCAGGTGTCTGAGATTCAGCCCAGCATGTTTGCAGGCAGAACTCAGCCCCGTGTGTTTGAGAAACTCGTGTCATTTTGGTCACGTGCCAGCCGGAAGACCTAACTCGTCAGCCGCATTCCCACCATCTCCACACGGTGGTGGTTTGCAGTTAACCCTTAATTTAAATACTAATGAGCTTTTCTTGTCTTCCTCTTGGTCTTTCCCTGTAATTTAAAAATTCCTCATCAGAAGCAATCCAACATCCCCTGTGAGGGAAATAGTTAATATTTCTGAAGAGTTTCAGTGGGAAGGCTTTTTTACATGATGCTGAAGAATCAGCCAGATTTAAAGCTCTGCGTGTCACATGATCTCAACTATTTCAAGGGCAAAGATGCAGGGAACAAAGATGTTTCGTTTTAATTTTTCTTTTTTAACGTTTATTTTTGAGACAGAGAGCGTGAACGGGGGAGGGTCAGAGAGGGAGACACAGAATCCAAAACAGGCTCCAGGCTCTGAGCTGTCATCACAGAGCCCGACGCGGGGCTCGAACTCACAAACTGTGAGATGATGACCTGAGCCAAAGTCGGATGCTTAACCAGCTGAGCCACCCAGGCGCCCCAACAAAGATGTTTCAAGTAAAACTTATTTTATAAAACTCCTAATTGTTCCTTCAACATGTATTTTTTTTTTGTTTTTTTTTTTCCCCATAATTAGCAGTGTTGTTTCTAAGTATGCTGAAAATTCATACGGTTCCTTGTGGAATAAGCCGTAAGATATTCTCATTCCCGTGAGGTTTTAGTTCTGGGTCTGTTTTTCTGTAAGCATTTGTGATTTTCAGTGGTGACGCCAGATCCTGTTCTTTACAAAGGAGAAGTGACCCTGTTGGTCTAGATGGTGA